GGCTCAACGTATCCACCTGGGATTGTAAGAGCTAAAAGCTTGAAAAAAGAATCCCTCCGAAGCAATGAAAAAAGAATCCCTCCGAAGCAATGGAAAAGGTATATACGTCTCCTCTTCCCGCCCCCACCCTTCCTTTCTGGACACCTTTGCTCTGTATCTGCTCATTTCTGGTCAGGGGTTCAAGAAAATCCAAATATTAATCCCAGGGATATTTGTTTATAAATCGATAATTAAAGGAGTAATAATAAATAATTCAGAAGAAATCCAAAACATTAATTCTTGGCACTTCCATAGTGACTCTTACCTGGGGATCTCAGGGCACTTTACAATTAACTCACTGGGCACCCCAGCCCTGCTGTGAGGTGTATATAATCACCCCCATTTTTACCAGTGGGGAAACTGAGGCACAGGGCGGCAATGTGACATGCCCATGGTCATCCAGAGAGTTTATGGCAGAGCTGAGTATAGAATGCAGGTGCCCTGACTGACTGTCCCCTGCTCTAACCACCACACTACACTGCCTCTCTTTTGCCGTCTGCTCCGTGCTCCTAGTGGATTTCAGTTTGGGAAGTGGCAGGTGGGTCTGAGGCCTAAAAATGGTCACCAGCCCCTCAGGCTCGACATTCACTTGCTAGTGGCTCGGCAGTTCCCTTTAGCCCAGCCAGCTCTCTTTGCTCCTCATCTTTCTGCTGGGATGCTTCCTTCACTCTGCAATGAGAACAGCAGGGCCGTGGGTCCACAAACAGGCTGTGAAGCGTTTCCTCTTCTAGTGCAGGGAAACCCCACCGGTGTGGCTGCTTTCAGCACCGGACAGGTCAGAGAAAGGACACATGGGGAGAGATTGGAGCAAGGCAGCCAGGGCTTAAGGCTAGGGAGAGGGACATTTGCAAAGACAGGAGACTCCCCTCTTGCTAGAACAAACCCTGCCCTGTCCCAGCCGACCGCCATTGAGGTCATTAAGAGCCAAAGAAGCTCTCTGCCCCCCAGGAGATTCCTGGTGCCATCCAGCTCAGGGCCCACTCGCTGATGAGGATGCTGGGATGGGGCCACCCTTACACCTGTTATAGGGCTGGTGGTGCATTGCAGGCCACAATAGACACTGCACAGCAAAACACAGCTAACGCAGACAGCCACCCCAAGCTCTCACTGCTGTTTCCCTGCTTCACGGAGGGCATTCTGGGACCCGGGCCATATCCCCACCTCGTCTTGGACCCAGGTGCACTGCAGGCCCAATAATACAAACCAACCAAGCTGTTTTCTTCCTTCCCTTCCTACCCAGCTGGAGAGCCAGGACACTAGAAATGGGCAAGACAGGTTTCCTCATGAAGTCTGTCCCCTTCTGGGGCAGGATGCGGGGCGGATCACATACACTATTAAACTGATACTACGCTGGACCTTAGCCAAAAAGCCAATGCAAGGGACTCTAGAGATGGGGCTGAACCCAGGCCCACTGGGTCCAAACACCCCAGCCCTGTCCAGAATCCTTTCTCTTCTGAGATTCCTTTTCCTCGCACGCTGAACAAACTCCCAGGAGCGTCCACACACCCAGACAGCCTCCAGGCTTGGAGAGGTGAAAGATTCCAGACCGGGATTCATTCCCTTTGAGAAAGATGTCACCTCCATCTCCTCATTTCGTTCCAGCATCTGGCATTATGCTAATTCTGCGCAGCACTTACACAACACCTGTCATCCAGATGGGAGACCTCAAAGCGCTCCACAAAACTGGGTCAACATCACCAACCCTGCGCTATTGGGGATGGGGAAACTGAGGGATAAAGAGGTGACGTGATTTTCCCAAGGTCACACACAGCGAGTCACTAGCGGAGTGGGCTCTAGAACTGACCAGATGTCCCGATTTTTATAGGAACAGTCCCGATTTTTGGATCTTTTTCTTATATAGGCTCTTATTACCACCCACCCCCGTCCCGATTTTTCACACTTGCTGTCTGGTCACCCTATCTAGAACAGACGCTGAGCCCTAACCATTGGACCACACTGCCTTCCTTGCTTATGTAATGACTCTGCTATGCACTCATTCTACTAGTAAAGATTTCACTGAGGCGAGAGAAGAAATGAAGGGATAGAATAGTCACTGCAAAAACTGCCCTTCCTAATGACAAAACTTTTCCTTGGTATCTCCAGATACATGCTATAGACACATGCTTGGTATCTGCGGTGCATAACTATATATATACACACACACTATACCCACACATTAGTCAGCCTGACAACACATAATTCTTAAACTCTGCATATAGTTTCTTTACATTTACTTACAAGTTTATCTGCAGAGGGCCACCTTTTAACATACGCTTTGCTAAAGGAGCTGCCAGATATTTAAGCACTGGCCGGCCATCGAAAGTGACAAAAGCAAACCTGAAGTTGAATCTTTGATTCCTTTGCAGGTGGCTGATTGCAAAGCGTTTTCAAACACAATTGAAATGTGCTACAGCGCGCTTAGTAAAGTGGACTCGTTTGTTCCCAGGAAATGCTAAAGTGATAAAGTGCCCCTCATCTTTTGTGAGGGGCAGGAAACACCACAGCGCCAGGTGGAATTTGTCATATTCCTCCCAGATTATTTCCAAAACCACAGTTGTTGAGTTCTTAGGTAAGCGACTCCCTCGGAAAAAGAGTAACAGAGATCACATTGTGTTTCAGAATGTGTCATAGCACTGGAGGCAAAAAAAAAAACCAGAAGCATGCCATTAATGCGCCTGCCTAAGAGGATACAATATTTTATTAATCACGTATGTATATTTCATGTATATTTTGTTGATCGTTCTAACCCAGGCCTGAAGAGCATGGGATGGGAGGGGGTGTATGAGAGAGAGAGAGAGATTGAAATGAGGATAATCTCACCTGTGCTGAGGACTTTAAAAGGAACTGCACAAGTGGAAAGTTTTCAAAGTGGGGGAAGGAGTTTAATAGGAACAAAATTAGTACTTACACATTCTGATGGTGTGATCTCTATAGCTGCATATCTTAGGGATCTCTAGAACACCCATCACGGTAGCATCTAACTATTAACACCTCATCCGGACTATTCCATCACTAAAGTAGGGAGGTGGTGTTTACATTTTGATATAATCTGACATCGGGTTTTTTTGGGGGGGAGTGTGTATTATGTGATGATTTTTGATCCAGGTATGACAGTCCCATCTGACCACTAAACTGTTAGAGATGGGCATCGCCTAACAGTCCTAAACTTTGGGGAAAGGCGATTAAGAATCCAGATCCAAACTTCCCAGCTCCGGGCCCCTGTGCTACTAACTCTTTCTAAAAGCCAGAATGAAGTAATACTAGCAAACAGCAAAGCTATCACCACTCTTTCTAAGAACTGCCATCAAAAATAGATACTTAATCTGCAGATACATCTACAAAACAGGTGGTTTGAAATCAGAATGGAGGGGGAAACAAAACCTGTTTTGTGATCACACTCACACTGCATAACTGTCCTGGAATTAATGCTGATAAATACACTCCATTTTCTTCCTAGTGTCGTTTGGTCTATAATTAAGAGTGACTTCTAAAAATATAAGTATTCTAATCCACTGAGAGGGAAAGATGTGAGGATGCTAATTGAAGACACTTTATAATATCCCATTTTCAGAATAATTTTACTACATTGGTTCTCACTGAGAGATGATACTATTTGGGTGATGCAATAGCTTTTTCTTTTCTTTTTCAAAAAACGTGGCGGTGGCTTAATATTTGTCTTTTAAAGTCATTCGCGTGGACACAATTTAATCACAGGCTGGCCACTGTCTCGGACAGACAATTCCAGGGGTTCGGACCCAGCAGACCAATGGCCCGAGAGACATGGGCACCCAAGGAATTCGGCAAAGACTATGTGGAAAGTTTCAAAGCAGAAGCAAAAGGCAACGTTTCAAAGCAGAAGGTCAGCATCACAAACTCAACCGCAAAAGAACAAGAGCTGGGAGGGACAGAGAGCAGACAACCCCAGGAATCAGCACTGGCACAGTACTGCAACCCACAGCCAACAGTTTCATCTGCACAGTACTGTATCATCTCCAGTAAGCAATTTTAGGGAACCCAAACACCTACAGGGGCTGGGACTAGAGAGGTTGTTGGTGGCTGCAAAACTTCCATCTCCCCTTCCCCTTTTCTCACACACATTTAGGGCTGCAAAGGCCAGCTTTAACTGGGTGCTGGAGTGACCATGAGACGGCTGTTTCCCCCGGCTTTCGGATTAGGCAGGTCTACAGAAGCACCGCAGCTGTGTCTCCCTGTCTCTTTCAGGCAGTCTGTTGCTAGAGCAGTCGCTTACCTCTCAGTGCATGGAGAGCCCCAAATCCCAGATCCTAGGCTGGAAGTCCTGGCCAGTTGGCTGGTAAGGAACCCCAGCTCTGCGCTGCTCCGGGCCAGGACTGGCGCAGGTAGAGGACCAATCCCTCCATTCCAACCCCCAAAACCTTCTTCCTCCCCTCCAAAAATAAAAGTGAGGGTTGTTGTTGTTGTTTTTTCCAAATGTTTTCCCCCCTCCCCCAAAAAAAATCCCAACCCCCACCCCTAAGAGATCCAGCCTCAGGTGAATTGAGCTTCCAACTCTTCCTTGCTCCCTGGAGATTTCGCCCTCACGGGGGCTCGGGGGGATGCGGGGGGACCCATCACAGGGCAAGTCTCATCGCGTCTCCCGTGGGCACCACTCCGCTCCTGCCCGGGGACGGGGGAGTTCTCCGCCGCTTTGCTGGGCGAGGCGGAGGGTGGGTTTTGTTCGCCCGCCTCTCCTGGGGGTTTCCTGGCTAGCGGCTCCCCAACCAGGGCTGCTTCCCCAGCCCTTTGCCAGGGGCTGGCTCCCAACCCGCCGCGAGCAGCAACTCCTCCAACTCTGCCCGGAGACCCGCGCCGCAGCGTCCGCTCGCCTGCCGTGCCTGTCCCGGGCTCGCTCCGCCGCGGCTGCGGGGAAGCAACAGCCGGGCCTGTCATGACTTGGCCGCGGGCCCGTGGGGAGGGGAGGGGCGGGGGGAGCTAGCGAGCCGCCCGTCCCCGGGGCATCTGGGCGCCGTGCAAGAGCAAAGTCCCGCGTGGGTTTTCCGGGAGTCCCTGGCTCTGATCGGGGAAAGGATCCGGGGGGGGGGGTCATTTTATCGCTTTATTTCTCCCGACGGGGGGTGGCAGGTTGATTTCCGACGGGGTTTATGGAGGGGGGTGGGTGGGATGAGGGGGGATTTGGGCCGCCAGAGCGGGGCGTATGTTGGGCGGGTCACTGGGCGAAAGGCGCCGCAGACAGCAGGTGAAATTTCCGCAAGACGGAGCCTTTCCCCGGGGGAGGCAGGCCCGGGGCCAGGACTGGGGTTTCACACGTGGGCCGGGGGACCTCGAAACGCCAAGGGGTCTGTTTGAGCTGCTTTGGGCTCAGGTCCCCCCCAGGCGTCCTGTCTTTAGCGATGACTTGTGGCACTTGGCAGGTAATTTTGCAAAATTAGCCTAGACTCAAAAATACAGGGTGAAAAGGGGAAACCTCCCCCTTACATGTCCTTGCCTGGCCCCCCCTCCCCCTCTGCAGATACCCCCCCCCCCATCTTTGCCTGTCTCCTGGATTTTAAAGCCAGGAGGGCGGGACCCGTCTCACTATGCAGCCCACTCCACCTGTTGTACACCTAGGAATAGAGCCAGGCCGTGGAATTTCACCCAGAAAGCCCTGCACTCATTGAGTTTCCTTCCCTCTCTTCTCATTTCCACCCGTTTTCTGATTTCACTTTCCTTGGCTTGGTGCTCCCCACCCCCCATACACCATTTCCCACCCCTACCCCCCAAATTTCCACGGTCCACCACTGTGTGCAGGGTCCAAATGACATTCTCTCTGGGCTCTGGTACCACGCTCAGCACCAGAATACCAGCTCGCCCCCCAGCCATGCACGAAGCAAAGTGACTACACATCTGTCACGAGTTGTTTGTTCTCTCATCCTTCCCCCAGGAAGGAGCCGGTGCCCTGGAGAGCCTTGTTTTGGTAGGGTTTTTTTTTATGGAGTTTATTTTTAATATACATGTTGTGTTTATGTAAGAGAAGGCAAGGTCCCAGAAAGGCGCCTGGCACTTGGAGCAGAAGGTGGTGGGTTTCTCAGTGTCCTCTTTATTTCTCTTCTTCACTTTGATTTCTCCCCTCTCTCTGGTGGACCTTCCCCACTCCTCCACAGCAGCTTATTTACCTTCCCCATTGAATAAGAGGTGGGGCGTTATAACCCACACCAGCTCAAACCACTGGGAGATTCTGGAAAGGTTCAGAGGCAGGGCCAAACTTGGCATCACCGGCTCAGCTGTGATCTCCCTCCACCCCAACTTGCATCTATTTCTCTCTCTTTACTCGGCTAATACATTCCCAAGGACCAACCCTGAAGTCAGATAATGCAAAGTGTTTCCTGTGTAAAGCACTTTGAGATCTCTGGATGAAACGCACTGCATGGGCTTGATCCAAAGTTAATTGAAGTCAATGGGCTCTGGGTCAGTCCAGAAGATATAAACATTGTTATTGATAGAATTCAACGGGAGTTTAGCTTAAGTGAGGGGTGTAGGTTTTGCTGCATAATAATTTGCAGAAATAGATCTGAAATAACATAACACAACTGTCTGACGTGAACTATATGATGAGAGACAAGGTGAGTGCAGTAATATCTTTTATTGGACCAGCTTCTGTTGGTGAGAGAGACAAGCTTTCAAGCTGCACACAGCTCTTCCTCAGGTGATGAACTTATGTACATTTTATGTACTTTAGGTGTGCATGCAATTTCAGTCCTAAAAGGACTGATCATTGCTAAGTAATCGAAATATCAGCATTGATCGTGACGATTAATTCTTGCAAAGTATGAATTATTATTAGGGTTTATATTATTAATTCATTATTATGAATATTATTGGGCTTGGATACAAACAATCCTGACCTAGGAGGATTTTCAAAATCGAGATCCAGCTGTGACTGGAGCATGTCTCTAGTCTCTGTGCTAAATTCTGCTTCCAAACTAGTTCTACACACAGTTTTTGTATTCATGTAACTAGCTCCGTTAGGGGGGTGATTTTCTACCCACTTAGTTAAATCGATACAACCCCAAAGGTACATGCAGTTATATTGCTGGAAAGGTTCCTTCTACCCATACAGCTTAGTCCCCTATCCTGGGAATAAACGATATCTTTATCCCACTTTAACTGCACCCAGGCTAGGGAGGATTGAACCGCTTTACCCATCCTGCAGTATAACTTGTGTGTATAGCCAAGGCCTTAGTGATACAGACAGCAATGCCAAGTAGCCCCACTGAAGTCAATGGGGTAGAATCAAGAGCACAATGCGGGTCAGGCCCTTTAATCTGGAGGGGGGTGGGAACCTATTCCCTGCAATAAAACATTTATCAAATAAACCAACATCTCCCCCAGCCCAGTTACTCTTTCCCCATTTCCCTAGTCATGTCTATTTTTACCTCCCGCCCCCAAGATACAATGCAAAGGTCCCACCATTCGCCAGCCGTCTGTTTCACTCTCTCCCTTTAACAATAAATATAATTATGTGGCTGAACAACATGGAAATTGGCTACAGGACTCTAAACGATTAGGCCGGAGAGCTGGCTGCAGCCCAAGGCCTGGTGGAGAGAAATCTAGAGAGAAAAAAAAAAGACAACAAAAAACCCAACCCATGGCTCCATATTACCCAACCCTCTTTAGATTTCACTCTCCGCTCTCATCACATTATTGCTTCCCCCTCCCTGCAGCAAGCCCAGCCAGGCTCTCGGCTGGGTCTCTTGACAGCACTTTAAGGCTGTTAGAACAGGACATTTCTCCGGCTGAGTGACAATCAATAGAATCCTTGGACTTTTCTCTTATGTAATGAGACGCCCTTTCCGCTGCACTCGGGAAAGCGTGGGGAGTACTCAGCTGCCACATAAAGCCCCCGGTGGCCGCAAGTCACCCCCTCTCTGTGGGGTGCTGGGGAGTGGCTGATAGATAACTTCCAGGGAGAGGGGGACAGCAGGGTCCTACCCTGCAGGACTCAGCACAAAGGGTTAAAGGCACATGGCAAAGCCAGCATGAGTCTGGCAGGAGGGATCCGAGTGGGCCTGATGTTCTCTCTTTCTTCCTTCCTCGCCCGAGGATAAATCAGGACGGCCTCCAGCCCCGCACAGGAGTGTGGCCGCACTTTCTGCTCTGGCGGTGGAGACGGAAGGAAAGGGCTGGGATTCAGCTCCCTGGACCTGATCCAAAGCCTGAAGTCGGCAAGAGTCTTTCCATCGACTTCAGTGGGCTTTGGTTCAGGCCCACTCTGTGCGCAGTGCTAGGGTGCCCCTCCCCCTGGGATCCGGCTCCCAAGAGTGCCTGCTCCCACTGGGTGCCAAGACACAGCTCCCACTGGTGCTGGGATGCAGCTCCTGGGAACTCCTGCTCCGTATGGGGTTTGGGATGCAGCTCTCAGAAGTTCCCATTCCCTGTGGGTGCTGGGGGACGCCTGCTCGGAGCACCCTGCCAGGACCGGTTTCCTATGTGTTCCCATTCCTCATAGGGGCTATGCCAGGCCGCTCAGAGCGACAGCACTGTGAATGGACACATATACCAGCAGATCGGATGCACACTGAGATTTGCTCCTGTTCCTGGGCCCTCTCTTCAGCCACAGGAGCGCGTCCAGCCCTTAGCACACCTTCGCCCCAGAAATCTACTGTGCGACTCCTGGCTGGTAAAAGCAGCCAGCCCGACTCCGGTTAAAGGGACTGTGGCTGATCATGGCAACTGCCTAATGGTTCTGCAGCCAACTAATCCATGACCCTCTAATCCGTGACCTTCCCTCTTCATCAGTGTGCAGGAGGGTTCAGTAGGGAACACTTTCCCCCAGAAACCAGGCGAGTCTCCCGCCTTACCACCAAGCCCCAGGGCATCGCACCACATGCTCAGACCCATTCCACCATTAGCCTCACACTAGCACTCAGATGTGGCCTGGGAGGCTGGATCTCTCTCTGACGTACCACCCGGGGATGGGGCAGATGGGTTAGTGCACTGGCCTGAGATCCAGTTCCAGGGAGGGGCGGGTCACAAGTGTAATGAGTTTGGTGGGACTCAGCCACACTACAGCAAAAGACAGCGCGGAACCGGTGGACTGAGGGGGCGGGCCCCAGTCTGGGACAGGCCGCTGCAGAGGTGGAGCTGACGCATGTGCCAGGGAAGCAACAGCTGTCTTGCCGGACACAAGCGCAGTATAAATCCCTGAGCCCCCTGAACCTGGGCATAGCCTGTATCTGGATCAGACCTCGTCCTGCAGCTAGGTTGGCTTTGGCCAGCGCTGTCTCCCCTCCCTGCCTTCAGTGGGGAAAATCGCCCATTTCAAAGCTGGTAAGGGAGAGCAAGAGCACGACAGGCTTTGTCAGGCCATAACATTCCTTATTGCCCAGTGCTGCGTTTACAGCAGCTCGGTCTCTGCCGTGAGACACTCATGATGGCCACATCCGGCCCCATCAAGGGGTGAGCGATGCCCCCCCCTTCACAGGCAGTCCGTGCTAGGAGCGGAGCAAGCCAGCACGCAGCCAGTCCTGCTGATTTAATAAAGACGGATGCCTGCTGCCTATGAACCCAGGGCTGGCATTGCACTGGTGTCACAGAGACCAGGGGAGGAGGGGAAAGAAAAATGCGACAGATTGCTCAGGCTACCCCCGGGCTGTGGGTTCACTTTCTTTTGAGGAGTCCCTTGCCGCGCTGGTCATTTCCTTCCCCCTCCCCTGGCTGAAGAGTTGCTGCTGTGTTTGCCACTTGCTCCCTCCCCGCCTCAGGGCGGGGTGTGCTGAGTCCAGAGGGCTGGCAGCCTGGGAGCACAGACACAGAGCACTAGCCAGACGGCTAGGGGGGCAGCCTGGTATTTTCAGCAGGGTGGCTACAAATCCCTTTTTAGAAGGTGCCTCAAGGGTGAGGACGCTGGAGATCGGGCCCTCTGCTGAGCCCAGGGTTGCCAGCTCTCGCTAT